CTTGGTGGCTAAAGTATACTGAAATCGGATATACGTTTTAGCCACAGACCGGCTCGTGGCTAAAAAGTATACTGAAATCTGATATACTTTTTAGCCACAGACCCTCGTGGCTAAAAGTATAGTGAAATCTGATATACTCTTTAGCCACAGACCTTGGTGGCGGGGGCATACTGGAATCCGGTATACTTTTTAGCCACAGACCGGCTCGTGGCTAAAAAGTATACTGAAATCTGATATACTTTTTAGCCACAGACCCTCGTGGCTAAAAGTATAGTGAAATCTGATATACTCTTTAGCCACAGACCTTGGTGGCTAAAGTATACTGAAATCGGATATACGTTTTAGCCACAGACCGGCTCGTGGCTAAAAAGTATACTGAAATCTGATATACTTTTTAGCCACAGACCCTCGTGGCTAAAAGTATAGTGAAATCTGATATACTCTTTAGCCACAGACCTTGGTGGCTAAAGTATACTGAAATCGGATATACGTTTTAGCCACAGACCGGCTCGTGGCTAAAAAGTATACTGAAATCTGATATACTTTTTAGCCACAGACCCTCGTGGCTAAAAGTATAGTGAAATCTGATATACTCTTTAGCCACAGACCTTGGTGGCTAAAGTATACTGAAATCGGATATACGTTTTAGCCACAGACCGGCTCGTGGCTAAAAAGTATACTGAAATCTGATATACTTTTTAGCTACAGACCACCTTGGCTAAAAAGTATACTGAAATTTGATATACTTTTTGGCCACAGACCGTCGTGGCTAAAAGGTATAGTGAAATTTGAAATACTTTTTAATAGCCACAGACAGCCGTGGCTAAAAAGTATACTGAAATCTGATATACTTTTTGGCCACAGACCGTCGTGGCTAAAAGGTATAGTGAAATTTGAAATACTTTTTAGCCACAGACAGCCGTGGCTAAAAAGTATACTGAAATCTGATATACTTTTTAGCCAGAGACGCTCGTGGCTAAAAGTATAGTGAAATCTGATATACTTTGTAGCCACAGACAGCCGTGGCTAAAAAGTATACTGAAATCTGATATACTTTTTAGCCAGAGACGGCCGTGGCTAAAAAGTATACTGAAATCTGATATACTTTTTGGCCACAGACCGTCGTGGCTAAAAGGTATAGTGAAATTTGAAATACTTTTTAGCCACAGACAGCCGTGGCTAAAAAGTATACTGAAATCTGATATACTTTTTAGCCAGAGACGCTCGTGGCTAAAAGGATAGTGAAATCTGATATACTTTGTAGCCACAGACAGCCGTGGCTAAAAAGTATACTGAAATCTGATATACTTTTTAGCCAGAGACGGCCGTGGCTAAAAAGTATACTGAAATCTGATATACTTTTTGGCCACAGACCGTCGTGGCTAAAAGGTATAGTGAAATTTGAAATACTTTTTAGCCACAGACAGCCGTGGCTAAAAAGTATACTGAAATCTGATATACTTTTTAGTCAGAGACGCTCGTGGCTAAAAGTATAGTGAAATCTGATATACTTTGTAGCCACAGACAGCCGTGGCTAAAAAGTATACTGAAATCTGATATACTTTTTAGCCAGAGACGGCCGTGGCTAAAAAGTATACTGAAATCTGGTATACTTTTTAGCCACAGACGGCCGTGGCTAAAAAGTATACTGAAATCTGGTATACTTTTTAGCCATAGACAGCCGTGGATAAAAAGGGTACTGTAATCCGGTATACTTTTTAGCCACAGACCCTCGTGGCTAAAATTATAGTGAAATCTGATATACTTTTTAGCCACAGACCTTCGTGGCTAAGGTATACTGAAATCGGATATACGTTTTAGCCACAGACGGCCGTGGCTAAAAAGTATACTGAAATCTGATATACTTTTCAGCTACAGACCACCATGGCTAAAAAGTATACTGAAATCTGATATACTTTTTAGCCAGAGACGCTCGTGGCTAAAAGTATAGTGAAATCTGATATACTTTGTAGCCACAGACAGCCGTGGCTAAAAAGTATACTGAAATCTGATATACTTTTTAGCCAGAGACGGCCGTGGCTAAAAAGTATACTGAAATCTGGTATACTTTTTAGCCACAGACGGCCGTGGCTAAAAAGTATACTGAAATCTGGTATACTTTTTAGCCATAGACAGCCGTGGATAAAAAGGGTACTGTAATCCGGTATACTTTTTAGCCACAGACCCTCGTGGCTAAAATTATAGTGAAATCTGATATACTTTTTAGCCACAGACCTTCGTGGCTAAGGTATACTGAAATCGGATATACGTTTTAGCCACAGACGGCCGTGGCTAAAAAGTATACTGAAATCTGATATACTTTTCAGCTACAGACCACCATGGCTAAAAAGTATACTGAAATCTGATATACTTTTTAGCCAGAGACGCTCGTGGCTAAAAGTATAGTGAAATCTGATATACTTTGTAGCCACAGACAGCCGTGGCTAAAAAGTATACTGAAATCTGATATACTTTTTAGCCAGAGACGGCCGTGGCTAAAAAGTATACTGAAATCTGGTATACTTTTTAGCCACAGACGGCCGTGGCTAAAAAGTATACTGAAATCTGGTATACTTTTTAGCCATAGACAGCCGTGGATAAAAAGGGTACTGTAATCCGGTATACTTTTTAGCCACAGACCCTCGTGGCTAAAATTATAGTGAAATCTGATATACTTTTTAGCCACAGACCTTCGTGGCTAAGGTATACTGAAATCGGATATACGTTTTAGCCACAGACGGCCGTGGCTAAAAAGTATACTGAAATCTGATATACTTTTCAGCTACAGACCACCATGGCTAAAAAGTATACTGAAATCTGATATACTTTTTGGCCACAGACCGTCGTGGTTAAAAGGTATAGTAAAATTTGAAATACTTTTTAGCCACAGACAGCCGTGGCTAAAAAATATAGTGAAATCTGATACTTTTTAGGCAGAGACCACTCTGGCCACATCATAGCTCAGTGGTTCTCATCCAGTGTGATTAGGAGATGAGATCAGTGCCTGGACTTTCATCAATTTAATATGGCGGTGCGAATGAGCGAGTATAGTATAAAAGATATTCATCTTTCCGGACAGTATTGATTCACATAATTATGAACTTATTTTGTTGTTAATCGTTAGGCACTATGAAAGGATCTAAATCGTTGGATGAATCGGGAAAGGGAGCAATAAAAACACGAAAACAACATGTGTTGGAACTAAATGGTTTGTTTATATTAATAATTTTATAATGTTACAATTGTTTAATAGCTGCTTTTATGATTCATTTGATTAAGTATATAAAAGCAAGGCAATGATTTATCAAACATAACATCTATATCATGTAGTAATATTGCAGCCCTATATTTTGTTGAGAAATCTGTAAAGAAGTTTCTCTGTTCAATCAAACAAAATAGTGAAAATACCCAGACACTTTCTCTTTCTATCCTGGTATCTGGCATCCATGGTGCATTGCATGTAAATTCTACGCCGAAGATATGCCAATAGACCTGACTGGAAAGTTTGGAAATTGTGCGGGGGTGATTTCGAAAGTTTAATAATAAATATATAGAATACATCAAAAGTGCACGGGGGGATATCTCCCCCATTTGATTCAAACTTTCCATCGAGACTATAGATAGTTATAGTATTGACTAGTAGACTTATAGTATTGTACTTTCCCAAACTTATGTCGAAGATCCTCGGCGTAGGCCACTTAATAAAATCAGTTATTAGGGTACCATATCCAGGTATCTTGATCAAAAGCACGCTCGTATATACATATATAAGCGTGCTTATGAGCATACCTTATTTTGGTATCTCATAAGCAAGCCCATTTTGGCGTGCTTATGGTTAAAATGCACCCTGGTCTACCAGATAATTACTTTGACTGTGTAGTGCGTAGATAGATTATAGGTTTCCCCATGTTTCTGTATATTTTGGTATTATTGTGTGCAGACTCCATTTTCTTCACTGCTGAGAAGTTTGGACTAATGGTTGAGTTTATTAATCGAGTCATTTTGTTGTTTGGAAGGAAAAGGATTGCAAAACATGAACAGTTTGCCGAAGCGTTACTCTATATGTGACTTAATTCTGGACAACAACAGTATTACAAAAATTGAAAAGTTGGATGCTTTTCCTAAACTATCTTCGGTAAGTTAATTTTTATTTTCATCAACACAAAATTGTTGCTCGTAATATATTTTTTCAAAATATGTAATTATGATGATTTTTGATGATGATGATTTTTTTTTATTATGATTATTTTTTTTTGTACTGATGATTTTTGTTATTTCCTATATCCAGTTGTCTGATCAATTTTCATTTTAGCTGTCAATGGTGGGCAATTATTTGGTGAGGATGAATGGTGTAAACTTTGGAAAACATTTGATGTCGGTTAATCTGTCAAACAATGGTATTGTGTCAATGGAAGGTACGGTATTTAGACTTTTCCAACATTTCTTTTCAATATTAACCCTGGGCAAGCTGAACACCAACACATACAAAAAAGTATTAATTTTTTGAGCAGCAGCTCTCTCCCCTTGACGAGTAAAATCCTCTGGCGTTAGACAGAGTAAAATAATAAAGTAGGGTGCATCAGGGTGCATTGCCACATAATGGAAGCATGAAGAGTTGTCTGAGATATATGAAATATTTAATTTAATATATTTACTGTCATCACTTATTCTACACAGCTAAAAGTTATCAGGTTGTTGCAATATTGATGAAAACAGGATTGAACAATGTTGATGAAAACAGGATTGAACTATCATTGATGAAAACAGGACTGAACAATGTTGTGCTGTCCACAATGTTCACAGTTGTCAACAATACTGTTCAAGCAATATTGTTATACCTGATTCAGGCTCAACAGTATTGTTCAATATTGATTACAAGTGTGAACAACATGGGCAGTACAACATTGTTCAATCCTGTCAAATAGCAGGCTCATAATTTTTACTATAATGTAGGTACTTGTTTTTTTCTTTCGAGGTCTTTGTTGGTTAGTTCACTTGGAATATCTTGATTTATCAAAAAATAAAATCAAGGTAAAAACCTAGTAATTCATCACTAAAATTTGTATTACTAAAATGTATTACCTATTACCTGTGTATCCTATTTTTTAAAATTGTTTTATTTTAGCGCATACAAAATGTATCTTATTGTACAAAATTGAAACACATGGATTTGTCTGAAAACAGGTGCTATATGTGATAAGGTTCACAATTGAAAATTTTGTTTGTTAATTTAATATTTTGGCATAAATCTACAGTACAGAATACTGTTTCCTTTTTCAGCATTACAGATATATCTAACTTGAAAAGTCTTGTCCAGTTAGAGGTAATGTATCAGTTAGAGAATAAGTATACCGTATGTAATTATGGAATTATGATAAGTATAATTAAAAATAAATTATAAAAATATTAAATAATAATATTAAAGTCATATTAATTTGTATAGCATCAGGAATCCATATGTTGCTCTATATGTCCAGCAGTTTTAAGCCTAATTATCCACAAATAATCCTTATGTCAAAAACCCTAACTCTAAATATCCCAACTTTATTCTTAATATTTCTTGGAAATTCCCTGAGCTCTAGCCACTTAACCATTAACCCATTAAGCTGCAGAGCTTCCCCATTGTCAAGTAAAATCATCTGGCATTAGACAAGTAAAAAAAAAGTAGGGCGCACTGGGGAACATTAGCCATTCCGAAGTTGATGAGTGGACTGGGAACTAGTGTTAAAAAAGTGCCCAAATTAAGAAATGAACCAAATCACTAAAAAGACCACCTCAAAATTAGTCCGTATACAAAGTTTGAAGACATTTACATGAATATCCTTAGAATAATAAGCTTTCGAAAATCGTGATATTTACTATGAAATGTGTTGTAATTTTTGTTTTTTGGACGTGCGTCCCCAAAACAATCTTTTAATCAGTAAATTCACAATTTTCGAAAGCTTATTATTCGAATGGTATTCATGTATACATCTTCAAACTTTGTATACTGACTAATTTTGAGGTGGTCTTTTTAGTTATTTGGCTCATTTCTTAATTTGGGCACTTTTTAACACTCGTCCCCAGCCCTCTCGTCAACTTCGGAATGGCTAATTGCGGCTCAATGGGCTAACCATTTAAATTATTTAAATTTTCACAGGCTTTACTTCTGCATGGTAATACTATCACAACACTAGAAAGGTACTGTATAGATTTTCTGTCTAACAAATACATTCATTAATTTTCCATGATATACTTTGCACTCATTTAAACCAGAATTCATCGAAAACGAAAGCTTGATATTAAACCTGGTTGAATAAACTTCAAAGCTGCTATGTAATATATAAATGTTGATTTGTTTTTCAAAGAGTTGAAGAGAAATTACCAGAACAAATTGGAACACTTTCACTTTCTGAGAATGGCATTTCTGACTTAAATGAGGTGACAGATTTTCCATTTCTTAAATTGAATGCAGATTTGAGAAAAACTTTTCAGTTCCTCAATATTTTTTTGGGAGTAAAAATGTTCTGATCATTTGTCATTATTTTTTAAATTGTAGGTCCGCCGCCTGTCGTGTTTGCTAAATTTGAAACACTTTTCCATTATGAGCAATCCTTGTGTTATGACAACATCGTCTTTGCCGTATCCTTACATAAGAAACAACTTGGTAGAGATACTACCTGAAATTTTAAGTTAGTTACGTTTTGTTATTAGGGAGTTTAAGCTTCGCGTTCATACGTCAAATGGCAAACACTAGGGGAAGAATAAATTCACGCAACAAGGTAATAAATGGGAAATCAACTTGCTATTTTAAGACTGTAATGTATGATGATTCTTTTGAGATAAGAACGAGAAGATGAAGCGAAGAAGTTAAGCAAAAATTCTGCCAACAAAATTCGACTATGCCGTTTACCGTTCCCGCAAACGTGAAGCTTAAACTCCCTATTATTGGCACTACCCACTGGAAAAAAATGTGAAATCCACACTACGAAACTTGCAATTGCACCGCTAAATCCATAGTATATCCATACTATTTCGATACTATATCCATACTATGCAAATATACAATTATTATGGATAATCAAAATCCATTCTATTTCCAATAAAGGTTTATACAATTTCCATTCTATGACCTTCCAGGGGTGTAGGAAGCATCAAAAAGTTTGAGGTGCACTTTTGGTATGAAAAGGGCACCTAAAAAATTTTTCCCGAAAATGTTGGCGACGGGAGGATAGGATAGGAAAAATAAATGCAATCATAAATCAAAGGCCGTTGAGGTCGACTCACGGATGAGATCAAATGAGAGTGACAGAAAGAATTAAAACAGTTTGCAGCTGTTTTTGCAAACGAGCACTGTGTAAATTTTACCATTTGTCGTGCTCCAGCCCGATTTCTGGTTCTGAAACGGACCCGATTAAGTAATCACAAAGACTCACATATGTTGCAACATCCGTGAGTCAAAAATGCAATCTGAACAACATTTTTCACGAAGGCAAAGGGCACTTTGCCACCGGAAAAAGGGCACTTTTTGTGTCTTCTGAAAACTTGGAGGGGCCTTGGCCCCCTCAGACCTTCTATGGATTTTAAAATGTTTTCCAGTGACCTACACTTTCACAGGCCGTATAAGAAACAAAAACACAAATGATTGTCTTTGAAATATGGTATTTTTTGAGAATTGTATAATGGTGGTGGATGGGTATCACGGTTCTCTCAAAAATATGCACCCCCGAGAATTTTTTTCTCTCCCAGATGAGCTTAGTCTCGATCCTCCTTGAAATACTACAGTAAAAGAATGGCGTGTGTGTATTTCCTTGATATACTATTATATTTCAAAGTAGGTTTAACTTTAGACCATTTATTCTGTCATGCTTGCCTTCTCTTCTTACATTGGATGGTAGCGCTGTGACAGATCGTGAAAGGTAAAATACTAAAGCCTAGATGAAACGACGATGAAAGTGCATCGGAGTTGGCAGTCACGCTGTTAGCTGTTCTTAATGCTTTTCTAACAGCAACACTATTAGCCTTTTCCCAAAAGAGATCACAGTGCATTCTGGCATCGTTTGGAGGGGCAAAATGTATGGTGACAGGCGTCAAATATGTGATAGAGTAGAATTATCTACTATCAAATATCAACTTTTACACGACCAAAAATGAAATATCTCCTTTTTACATTAAACTTTTAATTTAAATGTGTGCTGCCATATTTCTTGTCCCTCTAACAAGGGATTCGCGCGACTAGATCCAGGACTTTGGGAAATGGCTAATTGTGTACTTTATTTAAATTGGAACACTTGTCAAACTTTTATTTTGAAAAGTAGAATACTATGAGTATGGTATAGTGAAGAGGATCAGAACACGAATTTTTTCATTTTCATTCTTAAACCATGATGACAGACTGAGTTGACTGGATGTTATCGCGCGTCTCCAAAGTCTCATCATCTCGTCATCAAAATGTGATCCAGCTTAAAGTTGATGAGAATGAATAAGAAGAGTTGACCGTCAAACGTGAGAGAAAGTTACAGCCCTCATCAACTGTCATCTTCATTTTTCCGAGGCTTTACACTTACAGGAACATATAGAGTTCATTTATTTCTGTGAGACACATCGCACAACAAATATTCAAATCTGTTTTAGTCACAACTAGATGAAATCTTTCGTATGGACGAAAACATTTCTCGGGAAATATATTTTTGAACCTCCATCATATTTTTGCAGACAAGAATCTGAAAGATTGAGTCGAGACGAAAATCTTCCATTGTTCACGTTTGGACATCATTCACAGCTAGTTCTTTACCTCAGTAAAACTTGTCCGGTGCCTGATACGAATCAGGTAACGCTGAGATAAATTTGCTTGTTTTACAAATCTCTAAACTTCCGTAGTTTTATTATTTATTTTGAAGGTAATTCGTGGATAAAACCAGTTGACGTTGACACATTGTGCTGTGTTTACCTAGAGGCCCCAAATTTTTAATGATCATTTTAGGTTAGCAAAGATCAAAGTGGTTTCTTGGAAGATTTCTTGCAAAAACGACGAATGGAAATCTTTGGAGATCAGAAGAGCGCGAAAGTTACGAGGAATGCGTTTCCTTTGAACAATAATGTTTATAAGTTTGAAGAGTAAGTAATGTATTCATCTTTTGCTTGCATTGTAACTTGATAGCCGCTTCACATTTTTTCTCTCTAAACGCAAAGGAATTTCTTTAGTATTTTAATTTTTGAATTCTTCCCTGTTTAGACGTGATGTGAAAACAATTGACACCCTGCAATTTTCCAGTTATTCTGTTCTGGATTTTCAGAATGGAAGTGGAAATTTCTCACCTGATGAAGGTAGAGACTGATGACTAAAGATTAAACTGTATATTTTGATTGTATATTTTTAATTCATCTTTAGCAGTAAGTTACATGCAGTACTATTAACTGCATGACACGCAAGAACTCCCTTTACAAATGCCAGAACTCCCTTTTCAAACGTAAGAACTCCCTTTTCAAATGCCAGAACTCCCTTTTCAAATGCCAGATCTCCCTTTTCAAATGGCAGAACTCCCTTTTCAAATGACAGAACTCCCTTTTCAAATCGCAGAACTCTGTTTTCAAATGGCAAAACTCCGTTTTCAAATGCCAAAACTCCTTTTTCAAATGCCAGAACTCCGTTTCCAAATGCCAGAACTCCCTTTTCAAATCGCAGAACTCCCTTTTCAAATCGCAGAACTCTATTTTCAAATGGCAAAACTCTGTTTTCAAATGGCAAAACTCCCTTTTCGAATGGCAGAACGCCCTTTTTCAAATGGCAGAACTCCCTTTTTAAATGCCAAAACTCCTTTTTCAAATGCCAGAACTACCTTTTCAAATGGCAGAACTCCCTTTTCAAATGGCAAAACTCCCTTTACAAAATTTAGAATATGTTTTTGTCTTCCTATTATGTGAAACCGTTCAAACCTACAGCAATAAAAGTGAACTTCTATTTCTTTATTTTCGTTTTAGAAAGTGAAACTGACACACTGCGTTCTGAGTCGAGATTTTTGCCAGTCTATTCTCCTCTGAAGAAATCTCCAGGAAGTGGGTGTATTTAAAATGCTGTCTTATCGTTTTCATTTTTTGCTCAGAGAAGCAACGAGTTATTAATTGCGTTTGATATCCTCATTTTCAGGACAATTTCAAACTTCTCTATCCTGGGAAGCTTCGCCTCCGAACAACGATATGCCAAGCATGGCCGATGACCTCACGAACGTGTCCATAGACATGCCGATCATGACCGAAGAAGAAGCGAACAAGTTGATAAATTTAGCTGCAACAATCTTGCAATCTCATATCAGGGGTTTTTTGGTTCGTCGTAAATTTGATTATAGAAATTTCAAGAGAATGTATACAGCTGCAAGTAAAATTCAAGCGCTGTGGTAAGTTGGATCACTTTTAGGTTTTCTTTCCACGACGGTAGTGTCTTTCCCTTTACCACTATGACTAAAGTTCAATTCCAGCAATACGGATGACACTTACCGTACTTGAGTTAAATGAAGAAGACCAGTTTAGAACTGATAGAAATATTTTGTATTGATAAGTTATTATTATACAACTATTTTCTTCGGGTTTGTATAATTATGAAAGAATCTCACGATATATTTTTAGGAGAGGATATTACTTCAGACACTGTAGCAACCAAGGCTTGAACTTTAAAAATGAACTACGAGTCAGAAGACTTCAGAAATATATCTCCACCTTGTGTTTGATCATGCAGAAGTAAGATCATACTCTGACAGTTTGGAAATTGGAAAGATGTTTTATATAAAAGTTGTAAAAATTTAGTTTGTCTTGTTTTGTTTTGATAGATCAGAAAAACAACACGAGGTTGAAAAACAACAAATGTTGGAAATAATCACGTTACTTTACGAAAAGGTTAGTATTTCGGAGATAGTGATTTTGAAGGTATATTTAGGAAAAAATGCATAAATATTGTAAAACTTGTGTGATGATGCAATCAGTATTACAGTTCAACGAGTGGCCAAAGTTTACCAGTATATTATTTTTAGTTTACTCAGCTATCTGAAAAAGTGGAAAAACTGGACAGCTCCAGCAACGAAAGCAACAGAATGGAAAGAAGTGGTAAGAACTATTGAACTCGCTACTTTGGAAACTTAATAACTTTCAAAAATGGTCTTGTATCAAACATCAAAATGTAGTTGAGTTAAATTTAGTCTTTTCTTATTTTTTTAGACGAGTCAAGAAATGGTTTGGAAGAAACTCTACACCCGGTGTTCATTCCTCATCCACGTTTGTCAGGAAATATTGAGCAGAGAGAAGACGTAGGAAAGACTGATCACACATCAAGTATTGTACGAGGATTCCCTGAAGATGCTGGGTATGACTTGAAAGTGGACGTGGATTCAAAGAATGTTATTGGTTTGTGGGAAGATGTTGATTCAATAAATAACAAGAAGTTTGTTAAGAATCCCGATGATGGTACGGAATTTCATGGTGGAAATGTTGACGTTGATCATTTGGATTTAGGGGCACCAAAACAGGATATCATGGAGAAACGAGTTACATTGATGGATCAAGAGGATCATTCTGAGTGGTATAAGAAGGTACAAACGGTAGAGATTAACAGGGTGGAAGAGGATGAAAGATTGGATCAAGAGGATGATGCTCACTGGGATAAAGATTCGGAAAAGAGTGAGGATACCGAGGTAGAAGATGATAAAGAATGCTATTCTGAGGGTGCAATCGAGTGGAATGGTCATGAGGAAGGTACAAATGAGGATAGTTACGCACATAAAACATCCAATGTACCCGATGATGAATTATCCACTGATATTGCTGCTGAAGACTTCACTGAAAATGAAACGATGTCAAGTGAAATGAGTGAAGCATTTAATACTGCAAATGTTTGTTCACTGTTGGAAACTGTAGAGAGTGACAAAAAGCAAGGGATGGAAGAAACGTTTCGACTTCATGGAGATTCCAATGCAAGAGAGGTCTTTAAGAGTGTAGATGTTATTGCAGATGACTTTTCTGTCAGCTCTAGCGGAGATTTAAATGGCAAAGATAGTCAAGTCTATGACGATGACTTAGGAGAACAATTTGATAGTGGAAAACCACCATGTTCAAATATTGAAAATGATCAAGAATTAAAAAAAGATACAACAAGTGAGGAGTGTGATAAGCATGTTTCAACAAAGTCTGAAGACAGTGACAGTGACGTTAACAGCGATAAGGAACTTGATAATGTTAGCGAACATGTATTGAACTCTTCAGATGTTGAAGACAACGTTGCTGAGAGGGTTAGTGAACATGGAGGAAGGTCTGGGGGTGCGCATAGACAAGTTGAAGAAATTCAACAGGAAGTTCATGAAAGAATGTCAATTGATCCATCTGTGGACAGTCCAACTTGGAGTGAAAATGAAGGTAATGTTAAGGAAAACTATAATTCAAATGAAGCCAGGTTTAACCAGGTAAACATTCATGGTAACAGCCATGAAGACAAGGCTATGGAAGGTGATAATGGTGAACAGTTTGGGAAGGATTTGACACTCGATGAAGGATTTGTAAGCAAGGTTGATGATTCGATTGGGACAGCTGGGCACTCAGAATTTCGTGTTGTTCAAGATACAAGAGTAAAACTTGGTGAAGAAGCAGAACTATCTTACAAAAACCAAGAGATTGTGGAGAAACCTGCGATGACTCCATATGGGCACACTGAGAGAAAATCGGATGATTGTATTACGGGTGAATCTCTAAAAGACTCATTAGATCAGACCGCGTCCTTCTCACACGAAGATGACACTATTGTGGACTTCACTGGTGACTTACAAGAAATAATAACCGGTGAAGATAACAATGTTGACCAGTCTCTTGCTGGCGTCGAGAACAAAAACTATGTGGTGGCGAATGTTGAGAATAACATGGCCGATACGGAGAGTAACAATGAATCTTGTGATAGGTTACAACATGACGACACTGAAGATCCTCATTCAAACACCATCGAAATGAAGAATACTATCAAGGAAAGTGTTAAGAGCGACGAAGAGTCTGCCTTTGGTAACCTTTCAGAGAAAGAATCAGTGTCAGAAAGTACATCTGAAACTGAAATGAAAATCTCACCACGACTCAGGGAACGAGCGTCATCACTTTTATCCGCTCTTAAAGATGAGATCACTGGTGGTAATTCAAAGGATATACAATCAGAGCAATCTTCGACATACCTCCCGTCAGCTACGCGTACTTCTGGTGTTGACGACACAAAGGATAACGAACCTGACACAACAAGTGATATTTCTGCTTCTGACTCCCAAGAAATAACAAACGCCAAGAAATTATAACTTTGGAAAGGTCTTGCAACAAAATGTAGCGCGTTAAGATATACTGTAGTCGTTTCAGATAACAAGAGTGATCAAACTAATTTTTTCTGTTGTGAATAGAAATTTTAGAGTGATAATTTTTTTTTCAAACTTTTCTGTGTTGTCAATAGGGGATGAGATTGACACCCTTTGTAGAATATTTTGAAAGGTATTGCCTCTGGAGAATATATCTTTTGGTAATCTTTTGGAACCTCTTCCCTAGTGTCTATTTTCCTACATTAGATATTTACTAGAATAGAACTACAAAACCTATCACTTTCTGAGTACAATTTTGATAAAAATGTGAAAGTGTCTTGCAATCATAAATTTTAGTTAAAAGAACACTCCATTGCATTATACAGAGGTCAGCGCTAAACCACGCCCTGCTTATTTTTTAGTTACCAGTCCTTCGTTTTGTCAAACGGAAATTGCATAATTAATTAATGTACAAAAATTATGTACAATATAAAAAATGTTTTTATACTTGATGATTGAGCGATAAAATTGCAAGTAATCCAGGATTTTTGTTTCGAAATAGTAACACCTCAGTCACAATGGATGTTCATGTAATTGTAAGTAATGTATAATTGATATTTTTTTGTTTAAAGTTGATAGGAATGTTGGCAATTATAAACGTCAAATAAAACATGTATCATCATTTATCTTGGTTTATAAACTTCCCAAATTGCAATTGGCCAATAATTTCCCACCCATTAATGTTAACCTTTAGTTTTTGCACAAAGCTTTACTGGTTTTCTTTGCAATTAAAAAGTTTGAAGCACCTTGTGACATGCACAATAAACCCTTCCAGAAAGTATGTCACTATACAGCCTCGTTTTTATTATTCGGAAACTTGGGTTGAACCGAATGTCACATACATGAAAATGAGGCTCTAACCAGTGTGGAAAGTTTGTATCATGTGCAATTTTGATGCTTTCTATATATTTACTATTAAATTTTCAAATTCTCTGGCACCCAATTTCCAAACTTTCCAGTCAGAGCTCTATAGCCAAAATGATCTACTTTCCAGAAGGGTGTATTACTGTGTGTCATCTAAATTTTTAAAAACAGAATCGCAGGTTCAATTCCTGCCAGGGTTGCATTTTTTGCTTCTGTTCCTGGTTAGAATAAATATATAAATTTTCATGAAATTCGACAATTTCTGTCTACAGTACCCATCAAATAATCTGCCCATTACCTGCCTTAAACGAATTATCTCTTCTCATATATCATCTGCGTTTAAAATGAAAATTATAAACATACAAAAAGTGTGTGTGGTACGTCGTTAACATTTTTGGGCATGAACACAATACAATGTGTTTGTACACTTTGCTGACATCCATAATTATAACACTTAGCGAAGGCACTAAATGTTGTATTTATAAATTTATTATCTATTTTTTCTAGTTTTGAGACAGAAAATAATTGATATTTTTTATTTTTAGGCTGTACGGAATTTATAATAATTGCAGAATTTATATAGTTTTATCACTACTCGTCATTATGGGGCAAGGAACATCGGGATTAGTTGTTGGAAAGGCTGAGAAGTTTGACTCAACTTTGGAGTTTGAGCCAGGCCATAAAATATTTGCACAAACTGAAAAGAACAAGCGTACCAGAGGTACTGTGGTGTTTTGCTAGTCTTGAGTTAGGAATACTTAAAGTATAATGGCATGTTGCTGCAGCACACTAGTTAATGCATCAGTCATAATCAAGTCTCATTTCTGTGATCTGTAGTTTTCTGATTAACCCATTAATCTGCGAGACTCTTCCTTTAACAAGTAAAATTGTTAGACAGAGTACAACAATAAAGTAGGCACATTGTGGCTTATTGGGTAAATTATTGCCTCAGTCATATTTCAGTTCTTATAAGTTTGGATTAGGAATCCTCTTGTAGTAACACTAAGCCAAAAAGGAAATGTTGTCCTTTTTTGGAAGACTAATTCTATGGAGTTAGACTGATAGAGCTTCCCGATGTGAAGGTTACAATATTCCTGGAACATTATTGTAAAATAATTATTAAACTGTTTAAGCCAACACAGATTCCCAAATGGATTTCCAATCATCAGATGATAAAAGTGAGGAAATGCACAGAAGCAGTTCAGGAACAAGTATTCTTCCTCAATCTGTTCCAACCATGTTCAAATGGGAAAATGGTGGAAACATTGTCTACCTTTCAGGCAGCTTCAACGGTTGGAATTCTAGAATTCCAATGCATGGAAGGTATGGATGATTAGGGGTGGACTATTAGAAAAGTAATGGGGGGGGGGGCGTTTTTAACTTGTACGAATATTTTTTTAAATTTTTTGCTTGTGTCAATAATTTTTTTAAATATAATCCCTTGCACAAATTTTTTTTTTATTTCACCTTATAATTTTCCCTATTGAAAAGTCTCTGCACTAATTTATTTTGGTGCACAATTTTTTTTCTTCTTTCTGTTTCCCCTGCATGATTTTTATTTTTGCTTCCCCCCCCCCATCACTTTTCTAATGATCTGCCCCTTAAGAAATTGTACACCTTATACATCATGTTGTAATTAGCTGATCAATGCAATTAACCTTGTTTTAGTAATGGTGAATTTGTTACAATTATTGAACTCCCTGAAGGAGATCATGAGTACAAGTTTTTTGTTGATGGACACTGGGTGCATGATCCTAATGCAGTGAGTGCTAAATGTTTTAATTTTTTAAATATACATACTAAGTCTCGAGCTTGTAATTAAAGTCTACTCTGTGTTGCAGCCAACAACAAATGACAATTTCGGAGGCCGCAACAATGTCATCACGGTGAAGACATCTGATTTTGAAGTGATGGAAGCATTAGATGATGATGATCGTCAGTCTGGCTCAGGTATCACAGTTTCATCTCCTCCAGGGTCATATGCACAGTTAATACCCTCACATCATAACCCTGTTGTAATACAAGATGGTATGCATGCAAGTATTCCCCCAGCATTGCCGCCACATCTTCTTAACGTCATTCTCAATAAAGAGGCAATAGATGTTAACGAACCATCACTTCTGCAAGAACCTCATCATGTCTCATTAAATCATCTTTATGCTCTTTCTATAAAGGTGAGTGTGTGATCTTTACAAAATATAAATATTAATACCAGGCACCAGAGGTATAACTTATAACACTAGCCCAGGGCAAGTGATTATCATGACGGGCAAGTAAGCGTTTTATCTTGCTTGCCCGAATGCCCGATTAGGCAAGTTGGCCTTGCCACAAATAGCTGGGCATCTTTATGTGTTCATTGGAAAATTTATGTTTTCATTGTCAGATAAATTTTTTATAGTACATATACTAGTTGATTCAAATTTTGTTTTTGTGGGCCAAAGCTAGATCTGAGGCAGTATACTGTAACATGTTGTCCCCTTAATTTATACCACCTACCTAGGTACCCCAGTGGCCATTTGTCTGATGGCAAGTTAATTTTATTCAGGGCAACTAATTTTCATGTCCATTAGGCCAATCATGCAGATATATATCTGGTCCCGATTAACCAATCACATGCATGTGTATTCTGAACTTCTTTATTGACCGAGCTTGTCTTGTCGAAAACCTCTTGATCAGTGGTGATATATATCTTTTTGTTAGGAAGGCGTAGCTGTCCTTAGTTCTACCCAAAGATACAGAGAAAAGTATGTCACAACATTATTGTACCGACCAATAAAATAATGGATATTACCTCGCAATGTAATTGTGATGAAACTGGAGTGTTGTTTTTCTTGATTCATGCAAGAACTGCCACAAGTGAGAGCTATGAAAATGATTGAATTGCAATGAATCTGCATGTTTGTACTAGCAAATGTGTTGGTGGTGAAATATGAAGAACTATACTGTGTGTAAAATATTAGCATACATGAAAAAGACTGTTATATTAATGCACATATCAATGTTAAGCCCTGGCGGGCAGGGTGGTAGGGCGGGCTACCCATGTGATATTGACAGACTTGTGTTTTGACCACAATAGCTAGTCTGTTACAGGGGGATATGACAATTTTTTTGAAAAAGTCGATAAATAATCAATATTTTTTTCCAAAAAATTGTCAAATCCCCCTGTAACATAACCCCCACCCACCCCTCACCCCACCCTGATGCTTAGCATTGATAGGTGCATTAAGAAAATACTGCAACCTTTTTACCTTCATTAGTAAATGTATAAAAGATGTCCTAAAAGTAAGTGTGAAACCTTACATATATATATACAATGTATAACATACACCATTCCAGTATGAGTAGCAAATATTGGTATGTATCAATTAATGGGCCGGGGGGGGGGGGGGGTTGGTTACCTGACGGCACAATTGTCCTTCACTATCCCCTGTTAGCCCCTACTTAACAATGAGCCAATCACATCGCAGTGAATTGTAACCTGGCCTTGAAAGCGGGTTGTTCAAAAAATTATCAAGATGGCGGCATGTCGCAAGGAGTTGCAAACGTGTAGATCTTTTGAAAATGACTTGATTTCTAGTAAAAAATGAAGACAGGAGATCGGAATTTTGACAAAGGCTTCTTGTACAATGAAAAGGCTTTCCCAAACATGGCGACAAAAGGCCAAATCAACCGAGAAAACATCAAAACATGCAATGGTAAACAACAAATATCAAGACTCTAGTACACCAACCACTGGCTTGCAAGGTGGGTACTTGTTTCAGTTAAAATATACACTCTTGTTTTATACTTAAAGATACTCAATTTAAGATGAATAATTTTATGTTTTTATTCAGAGGGTACACCGCGTCGATCTCAGCGTCTGGCAAACTCCAAGTCTTTGAAAAATGACGTTCAGGATGTTTTGCAAGACATTACAGTTCAATGCAATAAAAATTCAGCCAGTAACACTGTCAAGGTAGTTTTTAGTTAAAATTGCTTTATAAATATCCAATAGTAAAATGTGGTTGAAATGTGACTTGTCATAAAATATCATGTTCCTTTGTCAGGGGAAAGATAGTTCAACTGAACAGTGTAGCCTCTTTAATTCATCTTTCGGATTTGATGCACAGGCCCTCTTGGCTGTGGATAAGATGGAGCAAGAACATATGAGGGGTAAGAAGAAACCTGTACCCATCCCTGGGCTATCTCCAATTATCCCTAACCCATCCCCAAGGTCCTCTTTACCCTTTACAACCACCTGCAGCAAAGCTAACGATATGCAAAGTACTCCTAATGAAACCACTCGTAAAAACATGGTAGGTCGTTCAGGATCGCTGGTTGAAACAAGTCGTGTGGTTTTGTCAGCGGCAACAAGTAGTATGGTGCTTCACCATAATGTTAAAACTCCAAGTGTGTCTGGAATGGTTTGTGTTTCTTCGTCAAAACTGGCAGACAATGAGAAAGTTAGTCTAGAAATGGCATTTAACAGCAAACCAACAAATGGAGGAGAAATGTCTATTGGGGAAATATCTGAAGGGGGACTGTCTAATGATCACCAGACATCGGGTACACATGACCAAGAAAAACCTGACATTAAAACACCTAAGAGACCTGACATAGAAACATCTAACATAAAGACACCTATGTTAAATGGAGGAGAAATATCCACAAACAACAGCTCAAGCACACAGAACAGCTCTCAAGGCTGTCTTACACAGGAGCAATGTGAACTGTCATCATGGGGTCTACCTGACAGTATTCTTGAACAATACTTGAAAATTGGCATTACTACCATGTTCGAATGGCAGGCACAGTGCTTACGTACTGGAAATGTTTTAAATGGAGGTAATACAGTGTTTCTGCTTTGATTGTTAATTGATTTACCCACCCTGCCCCCTTGCACCCACCTATCCCTCCTACCCACCTATCCCTCCTACCCACCTCACAGCTTCTCCCACCCACCTTACATGGGTGTTACCTTACAACTGTAAAATATTTTTATGACAGGTAATTTGGTATATTCAGCTCCCACAAGTGCAGGAAAAACAATGGTTGCAGAAATTTTAATGTTGAAACGAATCTTGGAAACAAAATGTAAAGCTATGTTTATTCTGCCCTTCGTCAGCGTCGCACGCGAGAAGATGTTTTATTTGCAGGTTTGTTGTGTTTCAGCCATTTATCGATTGCCTGGATTAACACTAAAAAATTATTATAGATACAGACAAAATACGCATGCCACAGAGATTTAACCTGTGCTCCGTGACCAGACGTGAGCCTATATGGCAGCAGTCAGGCTACATTCGGCAGGGGCGGTTAAAAAGCTGCAGGAAATTTGTTTGAATGAAGATTTGCTATTGAAAATTTGAAGGAAACCTTAACACCCATGTCCCACTATGGGCGCAACAACATATGGTTGACAGACATTATTCCTTGAATTTAAAACCATGGTCAGCTAGGACACTATATGTTTATGCACATGCAGATTTAGCACAAAAACCCTCCGTTGGTCTGCAGGGAAGTTTTGTCTCCAGGTTCTGCTCCCAGGAAGAAAATTCTTTCTTCCTGCCCTGACATTCAGTGGGCCTGCCCTATCAGGTTGTGCTGCGTCCTTCGTAATTCAGATTAGCTCTCAGCTAAAAGTAAGGATCAGGGCGCTTATATATATATAAGCGCCCTGGTAAGGATGAATAACTTAAAAATGATCACATAGACTAACTATCAGGCAAACTTCGTAAAGCAAGCTCGTCCAAACGGTTCATCCCCATCTACAGTATTATTAATAGACAACTTGCATGTTAGACTAATTTTTTATCTAGGCAAAAAAAGTAAATTACCGCGTAAAGAACTTATTAAAATTAGTAAAATTGCAAAATTTGGTTACGAAATGTTGTAAAATACGGAAAATATAGCATTGCGAAGTTTGCACATTTTGTATATGTTTGTATTACGTGCGGAAATTGTTACCATTTTGAGCCGAAAATGGTAACAATTTCCGCGCGTAATACAAACATATACAAAATAGGCAAACTTCGCAAGGCTATATTTTCCAAGCTTTACAACATTTTACTAATTTCATTATGTTCTTTTTAGCTGTGGTGTTTGATTCCCTTCTCTTTACTTAGATTAAGATTTAGTGTAACATGCAAGACTTTGTCCATTGAAAAGATGGAATTTTATATACAAAATTTGTCGTGAATAAAGTTTACATGATTACGCCAGATGACAAAGTACGAAGGAAAGTTTCAGTGTAAACCAGTTATAACCCAACTAAGCTTATTTCTGTCTTGAAATCCAATTTTAGCGCATGTTTGGTGAAGCAGGAATAAAGGTTGATGGCTACATGGGCAGTCAAGTTCCAACAAAGGGCTTTGGTTCCATTGACATTGCCGTGTGCACGATTGAGAAAGCGAACGGTTTGGTAAATCGTCTCATGGAGACCGGACAGCTACACTCCGTGGGAGTGATCATTGTCGATGAAATGCATTTGATAGGAGACACATCAAGGGGATATCTTCTGGAGTTATTATTGACCAAAGTTTTATACATGTCACAATGTACTGCAGGTGAGAACAATCAGCAGGCCTTAAAATATCTTTTCCAGGGCCGTCTGACAAAATGTCCGGTGACGTTGAGTTTGGGTCGGACATATGTCCGATGACCTTCAGTTCATTTTTGACTCGGAAATAAGTCTGAATGACCCAAATGAATAAACGGTAAATGTTGTAAAAATATTAAATAATTTGTTTCTTTCATACTTATTTCCAAGCCAAAATTAACTTGCTTTCCAGAACAGCAGTATCAAAACAACTTATCTTCGACAACTTAAGCCCGTTTTCCACTTCACCATTTCGCTCACCGCCCCGTGCTCGACTACGTTAAAACAACATTTCCAGTTGACCTTTTATACAATAGTACTCTGATTTTCCATTTAACACACAAGTTTCTTGTCCTGGGCTAGGGTACATTTTGATTTACGTTGGACAAAGCTACAGTTCGGTTGGACACCAATACACTCGGGTGAGTCGGGTCGGACAAACAATAAACCTCAGTTTCACTTAGGTCGGACAGAATGTCCGGTGGTTTCCTTTCTACGTCGGACAATTTTACGAATGGGTCGGACAATGTCCGTGACCGACCGATATTTTAAGGCCTGAATCAGAGGTGTAACTTAACACTTGCCCGCTTGGCAAGTGAATATCATGATGGACTGCAAGTGAACGTTTTATCTTGCTTGCCCGATTGGGCAAGTTGCCTTGCCACAAAAAGCTGGGCATCTTTAAATTTATGTTTTCATTGTCGGATATAAATTTTTCATAGTGCATGGACTTGATTCAAATTTTGTTTTTTGTGGGCCAAAGCTATATCTGAGGCAGTATAACATAGCCATATAGAGCAGTGGAGAACGGGTCGACATGTTTTCCCCTTAATTTATACCCCCTACCTAGGTGCCCAATTTTATTCAGGGCAACTAATTTTCATGTCCAACTTGCCCTGAGGGCAAGTGGTCAAAAAAGTAGAGTTACACCACTGACAAGCCATGTTACATAAGGCAATTTTCTGTGTGTATAGCGAGAAACGTCTATAATAATTTTGTTCAACTCTTGTAGATACCTTGTTAGAACGAAACGTCCAAATCATTGGCATGAGTGCTACTTTACCAAATTTAAATGTTCTTGCAACTTGGCTCCGAGCCGATCTGTATTTCACCAGCTATCGTCCAGTGCCTTTGACGGAAACTTTTAAAGTTGGTCCAGTTATCTACGATAGATCAGGCAATGTGTTACGTGAGTTGAGCCAGTCGCGCATGGTCAGCGGTGACGATGATCACGTGTTAGTGCTTTGTCGGGAGACCGTAGAAGAAGGAAATGGCGTGTTGGTTTTCTGTCCCACAAAGGCCTGGTGCGAGAAGCTGGCTGAATCTATCGCGAAATATTTCTATGCATCGGGTTCTGCAAAGACGGGTGAACCTTCGTTGGTGATGTTTGACTATGACGCACTGAAGGATGTGTTTGAGCAGCTCAGAAGTTGTCAAGTTGGGCTGGATAATGTGTTAGGCAAGACATTGCGATACGGAGTGGCATACCATCATGCTGGCTTGACGTATGATGAGAGAGATATCATTGAAGCAGGCTTTAGACAGGGCATTATTAAAGTACTGGTAGCTACGTCTACTCTATCATCAGGTAACTATGTTGACCACGCTGGTTTTTATTGAGTTGTTCAGTGAGCTCAGTCAAGCCAAGCAATTGTATACAGTAATTGACTTGCTGATTGATCAACCCTTCCCACTGACTGAATGACTGAGATACTCGCAGGTTACCTAGGAAAATAGTATTTAATCTCAGCGTTATTGTTTCAGGTGTAAATCTTCCCGCACGTCGAGTGATCATCAGAACTCCAATGTTCTATGGTAAACTTCTGGATGCTTTGGTCTACAAACAGATGTCAGGGCGTGCCGGGCGTAAAGGTGTTGATTCTCAGGGAGAAAGTATAATTATTTGTAAAACAAATGAAAAACAGAAGGCACGGAGTTTGCTTGAAGATGATCTAAAGCCTGTTGAGAGTTGTCTTGTAGGTAAGAAGATGCTTTGACTGTTGGAAGTTACAGTACTGCTTAGAAATAACCAAATAAAAACCGTGGCGGATATTCTATGGAACCTTTGATTTTCTATTTTGTGCCTTGGATAAACCATCGCAACCAAACTACAATCTAACCGCAGTCATACTGCATCTAGATTGCAACCAAAATACCAACGAAACCTCATCAGAACTGCAGCAGCCGTATTTTTAGGTTACTTTTGAATAGTACTGCAAAATTGCTTTACCTTGAAACTGATCACGTTCCGATGTCTTCTAGTAAAGAGAAGTGATGAAGATGAAGGGAATGGAATCAAGCGAGCTCTGCTGGAAATCATTGCCAGTGGTGTGGCGACCACACCTGCAGACGTACAGCGATATGCTTCCTGCACGTTCTACGTCTCGAGCAAAGAACAAGAAGATGGCGAGAGCACGAAGAATATTATCGCGACCACTGTGGGATATCTCGAGAAGAATGAATTTATAACTTTGAAGAAGAAAGAAGATGCCAGCACAAAGGTATAAATATGCTTACAGTTTTTCATTACATGTATTAGCTATGGCTGCGAAACTGAACCACATCCTGAACTGAAAGCTTACTTTGTAAGTTACTGCTTTGCAAGGCAGGTGAACAGTGCATTTAAGAGGCTTGGACTGGGGCACGAGTCAATCGCAGCTCAGTGTCGATAGATTCTCGTACGTACTATCAGCTTGGTCATGTTAAGAAAGACTTAACTCCATCTGCATGACTCACAATTAAAACACATACTAGCTAGCCCTGTTCTAACTTCTAAGTACAGTAGCTCGCTCAAGTGTGTGTAATAATGCACACGGTTCAATGTCTTAAACCATTATTTTCTGTGAGAGGCGTGTGTAGTACTAGTTCACCAGCTCAAAGCAGTATTCTCTCTTACAGGCAAACTCCTCTACCACTGAAAGGTATGTTCCAACACAACTTGGTCAGGCGACACTTGCCTCTTCACTCTCGCCAGATGAAGCCCTCGTTGTGTTTGCAGATCTACGCAAGGCTCGTAAATGTTTTGTGCTGGAAAATGAACTACATATATTATATCAGGTGTGTACATTAACTTATATGGACGGATAGTTTCACGGTCGCTAGTTGGAATGGTGTGGACTGTGGATCTTTTTTGTCTTTTGTGTACTTTAACAAATCAGTCTTCATTTCTTGCGAACTATATCGACATTATTCCATAGGGCATTGGCCATCTTGATGAATATGGTCGCAATAGCCACGCCAAATAGCAGGCTTTAAGGGAATCGATTTATAAGCCACATTTGTAGATGTCTTTTTAAATAAGAGTTTCCCTGAGCGATTTTGTAAATAAGTATTTTCCCTTTATTACAGGTGACGCCAATCTACGTGCAAGACCAGTGGCCTAACCTGGACTGGTATCAATATCTGCGTCTTTGGGAACGCCTACCGTCTCATATGAAACGTGTTTCAGACTTGGTCGGTATTGAAGAACGCTTCTTGAACCGTGCAATCCGCACTCGGCCTCCGACGCGTTCCGAAGCTCAACGACATGCTCTCCGAGTACACAAACGTTTCTACGTCGCACTGGCGCTTCACGATCTTGTCCACGAAGTTCCACTCGATACCGTTGCACGCAGGTATGGAGCGAGTCGTGGAATGTTCCAGTCACTACAGAGTTCAGCTGCGACTTTCGCTGGTATGGTTACTGTGTTCTGTCATAAGCTGGGTTGGAATAACTTGGAGATGTTGTTATCACAGTTTCAGAATCGTTTGACGTTTGGTATTGAACGTGAACTTTGTGACTTGGTCAGAATCTCAGCTCTGAATGCTTTTCGTGCACGAGTGTTGTATAGTGCAGGATATCACACCATTGCCGCTGTTGCTGCTGCCTCCCCTGCTGAGGTTGAAAAACATCTCAGAAGTGCAACACCATTTCAAAGCAACAAGAAGTCGGAGGGCGAGTCTGACTACGAGCTACGCAGACGCATGCGTGCTAAGTGCGTATGGGTGAATGGTGGGAAGGCGCTGACCGAATCTGAAGCAGCTCAAGAAGTAGTTAGGGAGGCTTGCGCACTTTTGAAGGAAGATGCTTTGAAATTAGGCGTGACTTGGAAACCTGGCGCGACAGTCGCTAGTGGTGAGCAAGATTCGAAACCTATTACTAATAATGACGTTTCTCGAAGTCAGAATATTGAATATAAAAATGGTGACAATCATGGGCAAGAGAAAAGTTCTGAAGATTTTCTGGCATGTAAAGTTACACAATCATTAGAAACATCGAAACTAAGACAAAAAACCTCTGCAAAGAACTTACAAATACCACCCTCGAACAACGTTATGAAATCGTCGACTAAGGATCCTCATATACAAGACAACAGGAAAGAAGGCTTATGTTCTGAAATGTCTTCGAAAAAAGGTGACAATGTCAATGACAATATGGCTGTTTCAACATGCAATGACCAAGTTTCAAAAGATTTTATTGCTACCACATGCAGTAATACAAGTACGGCACCTTCGTCGCGTCCAGCCGTGGGAAATTCTACAATATCTAGTAACGTCGCAGTTGTGTCGTTACCTGACCAGATAGCTGTAAATGAAAATGCAAATAAGACTAAAGACATTGTGTCTGAGACCTCTCAAATCCCAAGAAGTACCACTTTATCCAAAGAAGAACCCGTCCAAGGATCTTCAGTATCACACTCTGCATCCATCCAAGGATCTTCAGTATCACACTCTACCAGAACTTGTTCTAATATTATCTACACTGCAAAAGAAAACTCCAGTGAGGCAACCAATTGCACCAACGTTTCGCGTTCTCCGAAAGGCTTCACTTTGAGGAAACCCCTCTTTGAAACACATGGTGATACTTGCAAGAAGGTGTTCTCTAGCGTCAGAGAGTTGCCTAACAACAAAGAATTAACGTCGGATGTCGGATCGAAACCTTTGAAAGGAATGGGCCGGGAAACTCCAAGGAAGAAACGAGATAGTAGTCTGAAACGGAAACATTCTATGAGTAAAAGTCCCAAGGATGGCAATGGACCGAAAGTGAAATTAATGGATCCCCGGAAACCTTCTGGATATTCAGACAAGCAAGTGAATGCTAGAGAATCGATACTCGATCCCCCGAGGTCAAAAAGCGGAGTGAATGATCAGAAAGATAATTTCTATACAGACTGCTTGGATAATTTTAAGATGAAAGAACACGGAACTCCAAGCAAAAGAAAGGCTAGATGTGTTCTTCTCCTGGAATCTTCAACCGATAGTCAGAAAGTCTCTTCGGGAAAAGTACCAACACTGAGTAATAATAAAAAATATTCTAATCCAATTGAGCAAAGTCATCAAGTTTTATTACCAGTAACTAGTGAATTCTCAAACAAAATCAAAACACCGGAAAAAAAGATCACGTCTTCAGATCCTTTGGGCGAAAAACATTTTGATGTTGTAGATATGAACGAATGTATTACTATGGAAAAAAATAAGCCTAATTCACATTCTAAGTTTGAAAATCCCATAAGCGAAGTTACATCTAACCTCGGTAACCCTTTCTCATCAAACACTAAAACACCAACAGGAAGGCAGTTTGAAGTCCAAGATGAAAGTCCTGAGTTGATAACAACGGCTGAAACCGACAAAACTACACCAGCACTATCCAAAGTACCGTTTACTGAAATTGAATATAAAACCACCAGCCCTGATTTGTTAGTGACAAGCCCGGAACTATATTCTGAGGCGTTATTCCCCGACTATCAATCCCCTCAGGACCAAAGTTTTGAAATGCAAGTTGACAAAATGTCTGAATCGAGTGGATTTGAGAACCTGGATATAAGCTTGCAAAACTTAGCAGTCTCTCTAAAGGAAGAAGAGAATAAAATATTAGTCGAGGATAAGGAGGAAACGAAGCCTGGTGATGAGGTACATACTCCCTGTGGAGTTAACCTACAGGATAAAAGACCTGAGGAAAATATCACAAGCCTGGCGGCTATATGTACCCCTGGAATGTTTGACTCAGAGATGCTCTTTTCCCAGCTTACCCAAGTTCCCTTGGATAACAATAGATCACCTGAAGCTGTCATTACTCACCGAAACTCAGCCGAACAATGTCGACAAAATACTGAACAACCATTCAGCTTTGATAATTTGCAAAAAACTCCTGAGCAATCCAAAGGATATTCTGAGGAATTGCCAAATAGTCCGGGACAATCCAGAACAAGCCCTGAGCAGTCGCAAAGAAGCTTCGACTCGTTCTCATTAAGATTATCTCAGTCATTTGAGTGCGCAAGTGATTCCGATCTAAGTTCGAGGGCTCTAGCTGCAGTAGCTGCCTTGGAGGAAAAGGAAATGATTGCTAAAGATAACCAAGACAAAAAGGGATATCCGATGGATAACCACGACAAGGGAGAACATCCAGTAGATAATCAGGATAGTGATGGATTTGAGGGGTTTCAAGAAATTTCTAATATTAGTTTGTTGACATTGGCTGCTATTGAAGCGATGGATGAGGAATTACATCAGAATCACACATCTAATCTCAAACAGAAAAAGAATGAACCAAAGAGTGTGTGTGAATCACATGCCTCCCGCGAGTCGCGTGTTCCCCACGAATCTTCCTCAGCCAGTGAGAGACGGTTCACAGAAATCGAACAGCGTAGCTTGCCAACCAAGTCTGTGGTATCTAAATCCCACAGATCTGCACAGACAGCATTGTCCGATGTCAAAGAGTGTTTGAAAAAGTCTCTTACTGGATCAAAATTCCCTTTTGATATCGTAGACATTGCCAAAAACCGAAACTCCTTTGAACTTTTTGTTGAAAGCTGCAAAAGTAATTCATTTAGTTTTTCAGTTGCTTTGGAGAAACGGCAGCCTAGTGGATTGACTATTGGTAAGAAATTTAACAAAGGAGAAAAGCGTTTGCCTGCAAGACAAAAACATCGTTTAGCAATTGAAGCAGATAACTTGACAGTCGTGGGAGTTGCAGCTTGTTGGGGGAACGAGAGGGTATTTTTTTTGTCTCTTGAGGATGAGGGCAGTGGGAAAAGCGAGGTACCTTGGAAGGAGAGGATGGACAGCTTGCAAAGTATCATGGGATCGCATGCGGACAATCACGTGAAAATAGCCTTTGGGATGAAGGATCAATATAAGGTCAGTATTAAACAACCTTGTGTTGGCATGATGGAATCATTATCTTTGCTAAAATAACCTTGCTTTATTCCTAGAGGTCCAATTAATAAAGGCAGTCTCTAATTAGTTCAGCGTTTAGGAACCGTAAACTAACTTTATTTATACAGCACATCTCAGTCTGTCAGACTGTTCTCCCTAGAGTCCACTAGAGGTCATTTCTTGGTGATACAGGAGTAAACCCGGACAAAACCTGCAGATGTTTGCGCATGTAAATAGGTGGAGTGGTTAATAATTTCCACTGATTGTGTTTCTACATTTTCAGATTTTGTCGCGGGCATGTGGTGTCGTTGTTAAAGGTGAACTTCAAGATCCAAAGATCGCAGCATGGTTACTTGATCCTGGAGCAAAGGAGAAGAACTTTCTACAAATGGTAGAACATTTCTTTCCACAGAAATCAAACTTACTACAAGGTATAGAAAACGAACCCTACCCTGAAAATGGAGAGACGGGGGAGAGTTGAAATTTTCTGATGAAATAGACTACGAATGATTGAAAAATTGAGTTTCCTTAAATGAGTTAAAAAGGGAATATATCAAGAATACCCTTAAAATCATCTATTCTGAAAAAAAGGAACCTTTATATTTGCCAGGTATGATTGGTGGTTGCGGCTATGCAGGTTTAGGCCAAGCCACACAAAGTTCAGTTCCAGCCCGTGAAAGATCCTGTCTTGATGCAGTCTTCGCAAGAATGTTAATGGCTCATTTTCGTCCGATGTTGGAAGCTGATGGACTTTGGGAAGCCTTTACAAAGGTAAGTGTTTATCCCTGGGTTTCATGGGCACTCATATATACATGTAGTGTCTTCCAGTCTAGTGATCAATCAGCCCTGCGGTTCGCATTAATGTGCTTGCGCGAACTGTGCCTTTTATGAAGATGATGTAATTTTGCTTGTTTTAGATTGAAATGCCAGTGATCAATTGTCTTGCTAGAATGGAACTAAATGGTTTCGGGTTCTCAAACAGCGAATGCGAACAAATCAAACATGTACTTCGCGCGAAACTTTGCGCTCTCGAGCAAGAAGCATATGGCTTAGCAAACCGAAGTTTCTCTCTGACAAGCCCGGAAGAAGTATCCCGGGTGTTGTTCCTAGAGCTCAAACTCCCCCCTGATGGACATACTGATGTGTCACCCGGTAAAGCTGTGAGACCAACACGTGGTGGCAGACGTAAGAAGGTGAAATATTTCAGTACTTCGAAAGATGTCTTAGAAAAACTCATTTCACTTCATCCGTTACCTAAAGTTATCCTAGAATGGCGTCGTATAAACTCTGCTCTGACGAAGGTCGTGTTTCCTGTACAGAAAGAACAAGTGTCATGTGACCCACCTCTCAGCATGTCCCGGATCTTCCCCACCGCTCTGACACACACCGCTACGGGACGGGTGACTTTTGTTGAACCCAACATCCAGAACGTACCCAGAGATTTCGATATCAACTTACCCACAGTTATATCTGATACCCCTCCTAATGAGGACTTGGAGAGAACTAAACGCCACAAGGGCAAGGGGGTGTATGCCCCAAGAGATGGTTTTGAACCTTCCTCTCCTGGTCCACAGTTTTCTGTGAGTCTGCGCAGTGCATTTGTTCCGTTCACAAACGGGATCCTACTTGCCGCAGATTATTCTCAACTTGAGTTGCGACTCATCGCTCATCTTTCAAGTGATGGAAAGTTGGTGGGTTTTCTTAACGCCGGAGGTGACGCATTCAGAATGATCGCTGGGGAGATATTTCACATTGCTCAGGATCAGATTTCCGACGAGCAACGACAACGAGCGAAGCACGTGTGTTACGGAATTATTTACGGTATCGGTGCGAAAGCTCTGGGACAAACACTTGGCGTTGATGAAAACGAGTCTGCTTTATTTGTGGATGCCTTCAAGGCTCGGTTCACTGGTGTGCGTGCTTATCTGAAGAGAACTGTGGACAACTGTCGGCGGTTAGGGTATGTTACGACAATCTCCGGACGTAGACGATACCTTCCGAACATTCGATCGCCAAATGCCGCGGCGAGATCGCAAGCGGAGCGTCAGGCAGTTAATACAACTGTGCAAGGATCAGCTGCAGACTTGGTAAAACTTGCCATGGCGAACATCGACCGACGAATGTGCGAGCAATTCACTAACTGTTGGCAAACTCACCGACAGAAATCCGAAGACGAACTCGGTCCGCGGTCACCAAAATTCGGAAAACGTCGCGAACAGAAATTTCGTGGAGCCAACCTCGTGTTGCAATTACATGATGAACTGTTGTTCGAAGTGGTACAGCAAGATTTGTCAAAAGTTGTTGGAGTTGTCAAAGACGAAATGGAGGCCGCCATGAAATTGTCTGTTAAAATTCCGGTGAAAATCAAAAGTGGCAAATCTTGGGGTACCATGGTGCCCATTGAGTTCTAGACATCATTGTTAACTACACTATTGGTGGGTGAGAAGTAGAAGGTCATCAACTTATGTTGAAAATGACTTAAAAAAAGGCCTAAAAAATACCTGTGATTCCAGTTTGATATCGCGAAAAAATTAGGGTCGGTAGGTCGGAAATAATTTTTTTTAAATCTTTTTTTTCCATGGTTTTTTCAATAATTAGTGTGAGAACAGATGCCATTTTGGCAGCAGCCCGCGACCACCCGGAGAACATAGGGTCGCACGGTCAATCACATTGAAAAAATAATAGGAAATAATAAGCCAATAGGAACAAGAAAATAAAACGAAATTTTCCAATTCTATTTACTGAGGTCTACAACATGCTTCTCTCATTGTGGATTGTGATAACCAACAGTTGATCACCAACGGTTACACAATGGTGCTTGCTGAAGTCACCTATTTTTGGAATGTTTTGGTAGGGGAATTAGGATATCTTTTAATAATTAAGTATTTATTCAATAGAGTTTATCACTATTTTGTCTTTTTTTATGACAATGTACCATATTCTTGTAAATTGAATAATTTATTGTTTTTAATAATATAATGTAAATATATAACTATTTTTATATGCAAATTAAATATTTTTTTCAAAATTTTGACAGGTTTTGAAATCTATATTCAAAACTAAATAGTGGTATTTCCAAGTTTCTTTGAACTTCCTAATGTTTGTAGTAACTGATGTCTATAATCCATGATTTCTTTGTAGTGACCCTTAGAAGAAAGAAGCTGATTATTTTTCTTAGCTTCTACATGAAAACCTGAAGTTTTTAACTCGTACCATCGAGGGGAAGGTCCACGAATACGTTCCAATTCTGAAAGAGATTTCTTGTGTAGTAACCTGTCTTCTTCAATCTTTAACCTTTCCATTTTTAGTTTAGCTAATTTGTACTGATATGGGCTTGCCAAGGCAGTTAGCGTTCGACAAGATAGCATCTCATCCTCTGCATTTCTAAACAGCGACAAATCAAAGGATTCAATAGGTGTTTTATCAATGATCTCTTGTGGAGTAGGAAATAAAGATCCGTTCATGTTCAATTTAATCACAGACGCTTGAAGCGGACTTGTTCTTTCAAGATGGCTCAAGTCGATGTCGGTACTTTGGGTTCGATGGACTGGATTCAAGTACCAAGATGTTTCAAGTGGGTTGTCTACATGAATAATATCATCTTTAAATCTGCTCAATTCAGCTTCAGGGCCATCTTCAAACTCACTGTGAATGCTTACATCATCAGAATCATCACTTGCAGTGTCACTACTTAAATTGTTACAATTGCCTTGAGTTAGCTCCACCTTGCCAACTGAGCCATCCAAATAACCAAAGGAACCTGATCGGCTTAGAGTCATTTGACTGTTTGTTCGATATGTACTTGGTTTGGTTCTAGTAGCAGAGTAAGATTAGCGTATTAATAGGGTATCAGGGGTTTTAACAATTATGTGTTTACAAGCACTATATCATGCAGCAATGGTGGTCAACCTGCCCTGCTGTTATCAGAGTGAGAAAATAATGTTAATTTCATTATATGTAGGGGACTTGTATTTCAGTATTTGGAGACAAATTAGTTAATTCTTCTCATTATATGTAGCAGATTTGAATTTCAGTATTTGGAGATAAATTAGTTAATAATATTAAAATTAGTTAATAATATTAAAATTAGTTAATAAACAGAGTGAGATGTAGTTCGATTTTCGTGTTCCTACAGTTGTGAAGTTGAACACGATCTGCTGTTCTTTAACACTGAAACCCATCAATACAACAATGAAAACTTACTTTATATCACTTCCAAAACCATTCAGTACAAAATCCTCGTCTGGATTTCGTCGATGGGTTCCTTTCATTGGCAATGGACGTAAATTATAAATCTCACTACTGTTATGAGGCTGTTTATGACTTGCACTACTGGTAAACATTTTCAAATAGAGATAATTTTGGCATAAAAAACCCTAGAAAAACAAAAATTGGTTTAAAAATTAGTTTATTTTTTAGTTCGTTGACATAGCAACCAAAACATAGCGTTGTTTACATTATGAATATTGATGTATAATACTGGGTAATTAGGACTACGGTAAGGGTTATTTAGGGATACAGTTTGGGTCATTAATAGACAATGTGTGTGAAAATATGCAGGCCTGATCTACTAGCACCTATGACTAGCACCCCAAAATGTTCCTAAATATTCAGTTTTATTCCTAAACGTCCCTCATATGGGATAGTTTTGGATACTTGGGGTAAGAAGTGAATTTCCTTAATGTCCTAAATATCCCTAATAAAGGGGGGCAATTGTGGATAGTAAGGGTAATTAGCAGTAAATTCGTGAATATAGCTAAATATCCCCATTGGTGAGGGTAATTTTGGATAATTGGGGTTAGAGGTGAATCAATCTTCGAACGCCTATCTATCCTAATGAATCCTACATTCTTTCTTTTTCTCTGGTTTTCGTTTCGAAAAGCAAAATGAAGTAAGTCGTCTAAATCCATTTCAATCCGAGTAGAAAAACGAAGTACATCCTTCATTACTCATTATTAAAAAGCTTTAATGATAGTACTACTTTTGTTTGCTATGATATTACTGATTTAACCCTGATATTTAATATAAAATGCGGGTCATAATATGTCATTCATATTACAGAAGTACAATGTTTATATGAAAAATTTCGTATAAATATATGCACAGCATACGCCAGTCTGTAGTTAGGAACATGCTTGATTCTCTCCTTTTATATTCTTATACTATAAGTAGTGTATAAATTATTATGGGGTGTTTTTAGGCTAGAGGTGTGTAATTATAGTGGATACAAAATCTACCCAGGCCATGGGAAAAGATATATCAGACTTGATGGCAAGGTATGTGTATAAAGCTTATACATAGTTTGTTTTGTACTGTCAACAACATACATTTATCAAAGACACTGGAAAAAGAGTTTGTATCATGCAGCCAAGATCTTGGATGTTCAGTTTTGATGTTTTCGATGTATTCTCGGTGTGCATGTGATGTCACCACATTGTAAAATTAAAGGTACACAGCTAAATGTGTTCACCAAAAAAATTGGGTTGGTACTATTATTTTCTGCCTGGGTTACAGACTTTTAAAAATATTGCTGACATCACCATTATTTTCAACAGCGTCACAGAATTCTACACAGAAGTCCATCTCCATTGTTTTTTGCGTAAGCTCTATTTGTCATTATTCGTCACTCGGCAGGTACTGTGCAGAAGCAGTCCCCCCTGGAAATACTCAAAATGGCACATGTCCAGGGGGGTGACTGCTTCTGTTTACGGTACTTGCTGAGTGACGAATCATGACGAATAACACTTACGCAAAAAACAATGGAGATGGACTTCTGTGTAGTATTCTGTGACAGCGTTATACATAGATTTAAAAATACTTGGCAAATTTGTCAGCCATCATGGTGGTAAAAAATGAATGCTAAAATGACTTGAGCATTATTGGGTCATTCCAGAAAAGATCCATACTCCCCCACAGAGGAAATTTCTGCTGTCCGGAGGGGGAGGGGAGACAAAATTGTTTCTGACAATAGTAAATGTATTACGACATCCGAAGGGGGGAGGGGGTTAACTTCCAATTTCTTCCGTGGGGAGGTATGGATGTTTTCTGGAATGACCCATTGGATTTTTTTGTAAATATATAAACCTGTAATGTCACCAACAAAAATATTTGTTTTTACCATTTAGCATTCACCTAAAATCAGCAAATCAAGGAATTTTGCTTGAGCAGTTCTTGCTTGTTCTCACAATTAGTATTATTGTGAAGCAATAACTGCTGAAGCCTTTGGTGCAAGTTGAAACAGAAGCTAAAGAATTTTTACAACAAAAAGTTGCATACTGATTATGGTTTGTTAATGTTGTAGTGTTTCTATTTCTTGGATAAAAAATGTGAGCGTTCCTTCCTCATGAAAAGAAATCCACGAAAAATTTCCTGGACAGTGCTGTATAGGAGAAAGCACAAGAAAGGGTCAGTTGAGGAAGTCACAAAGAAAAGAACAAGAAGAAATGTGAAATTTCAGAGGTCTATCCAGGGAGCAACTTGGGAGAATATCCAGGCTAAACGAAACCAAAAGCCAGAAGTGAGGAAAGCCCAGAGAGAACAGGCAATTAGGTATGTATTGCTATGTATGTTGCTCAGGACCTAACTATGCTACAGAGGAATACAAGTCGTTTCACCCCCAAGTCGATTCGCCCCAAGTTGTTTCGCTCCCAAGTGGCTAAGTTGATTCGCTCCAAATTTTTTGGTACGGACCGACCTAAACGGTAAAGGTTTTGATTTTTTCATGTTTGCCGTTTGATCCACAATACTCACAAATATGGGCTAGTTTGTAAGAGGTCATTCATTAGCTATTGTAGGACTTGTAGGCAAACAAAAATTTTGAACAAAAAAACATGTTAATTTTATTACAAAACCTCATGTTTCAAACAAAAACTTTTTACAACTTGGGGGTGAAACAACCGGATACCCTACAGAGTTGGGCAGATATCAGGGGCACCAAACAATTTCCAAGGCCACATCAAGAGGCAGTCATGCACACAAAAGTTACAAAATAGGTATTAAAAGATTTTGGAGAATTTGTTTATATGAAGCACTCTCGGGGCATCTCTGCCATATACTATAGGATAACACCCAAAACGAGTTATTTCTCAATGATGATTTTTACCTACATTGCTTGAGGACAACCTGTGAGAACAATAAAGTGACTGAGAGAAATAACTTGTGCAATTAATCTTTTGGATGTAGCAATTATTAACCCATTATGTTGCATTTATTCTACTCTACCTGAAGCCAGACGACTTCCTCGTCAAGCGAGAGCTCTGGCACTCAATGGGTTAATAGATTTCCATAGTAAGATCAATTAACAAGGAAGTTCCTTAAAATTATTCTGAGCTAAACAATAGTAAACATATAGCAATAATAAAACTAATGAGTGGAAAATATGTTTAGAGCTGCCAAAGATAAAATTAGACAAAAGAAGGAAGTCAAGAAGTTGACAAAGGTACTTATTATGCATTTGGCTATAATTGGTCAGAATTAGTGTCATAAAAGATGTATAAAATGTTTCCTTATATGGTATTTTTTGAAATGTGATATAATGTATTTTTTAGGTACAGCAACAGCCTTCAAAGTCTAAGGCACCTAACAAGCAAAAGGGAGGTAAAACTACTGGTCGTGTTGGTGGGAAACGCTGAATGTAGATTTGCATTGTGCAATAAATCATCTGTATTTATCCACAGTTTTATGGGGTTTTTTTCTGAAAATGGCGGATTTTTTCACATTTTGTGCCATTTGTGGTGTCTTGTTTCATTCATAATTGTCTTGAGGGCTTTTCTTGTTTGTTTTGAAGTTTTTTCTTGTGAATTTTACAATGGATTGGTGATGCGGAAAGTAGAACAAATAAAGTGCTAAACTTGTTGTTAGTTTACAAATTGTAAGGATTCCCAACTTGCATACTTCTGTTTGAAGACATTCGATAAATATTTGCACAGGATACCAATATATTATCATGCAGGGAAAATTCTTTTTGTTTACTCTGATTTTTCTCATTTATACTAATATTTTGTTGTAATAAGCTTATAATTTAACACACTTTAACACTTCCACATCAATTTTAAATTTAATACTTTACAAAATTAAATTTTATTAGAATTAGCCTACAAATAATTACACCATAATCGTAGTCAATCTGTTTTAATTAATGATAAACTATCAATTTTTAAAAGTTAATCCCAATAACTTGAATCTAAATATTATACATGACTAATACTTTACATAAATATTATACATAAGTAATACTTTACATTAGGTAATATTTACATGGATAAATAGTAAATACGTGTCACACAATTCATGGCATGCTAGAATGTCTGTTGCGGCCACCAACTTGACAAAACAGCGCTTCTTTCTTCTTAAAACAAATGTCACAGAGGCCTTGTTTCTCTTCAGTCCCCATGTGTGGACAACCTTTTGTCACACAAGGTACCGTATTCATTGCAGATTTTTTTCGGTTTGGTGAAGATGGAGCTGAAGCACTTTTGTTTGGCATAGAAATCACCTGTGAAATAAAGATGATAAAAATAAGTTTTATGCCAAAGTATATTAATTAATTATTGAACACCCTCTGGTAATACACCCTTCCAGAAAGTATATCATTCGGTTATAGAGACTCATTTTCATACGTGTGATTAATTTTATCCAAGCCTTGCAAAAATGAGGCTCTATAGTCGAATGATGTTCTGCAAGGGTCTATTAAATTGTATTTACACTAGACTGAGCTGATTGTTTTTAATTCAAATTTACCTCATAGTAGAAAGGCTTGCGTTGAAAGTCAAACTGGGATTGTTCAGAACTGCTGCTCGCAATTTGAGCAACCCATTCTGCCTGTGCTCTGTCTTGCTCAGCTTGTATCCTCTGCATATCATACTGTTCTTGCAAGGCCTTTGCATGACATTGTGAGCAGAGGTAGTTGTGGTCTGCAACTGCAAAGAAGTTGCATCCATGGGTTATGCACTTTATTCCGGATTGTTTCATCTGTGGTGTTTGGTGACTCTTGCTTTGCTGGCGACTCATGGATTCCTTGTAGTGCTCGTAACATAATTGTCCATGGTAGGTCACTGCAGGCATGCTACAACCAGAAACACAACAAATTGCATAGTCTCTGTTCATTGCACTAGGCTGGTCAATATCACCAGCAGCATGCTCGTCACAGTAAATCTGTTCTGGATTTTGGAGACGATTGTTGCACATTTGGTCGAAGCAAAACAGTCTGGAATTTTGGCGAGGTAATGCTGGACTCTGTGGACCAAAATTGTTCTCAGCTTGCCTTTCATTTTTTGTAACTGGTCTTGCAGTTGTTGTCGAACTTGCAGTGGTGGTAATGTTTCCAAGATTAGGAGTGTGAATATATTTGATATAACAGTCATGACACTTGCCATGAAAATGAGCACATGCCTCTTTCTGGCAATTGCTAATGATGCACCTGTTGCTTGGGGGTGCAGACGGACTTACCATGCTGGCTCCTTGCTCCAGGATTGCACGGTACCGTGCAAAACATGAGGAGCAAAGACCTTCATAGTCTGCATTGGCAGCGAATGGACAGCCAGGCGATGTGCAGAGTTGAGGCTTGGTTTTCCTGCACTGGTGGCAGTAATCATTCGAGTGAGTCGTGTAATTTTCACAAACTGCATTTTTGCATTTCTTATGAGCACTGCAACATCTTGGAGTGTTCCGAGGTAGAAGCGCAGTTCCGTTACCAGGTGATGCGGCAGGATATGGTCTGTAATGTTGACCAGACAAGGAAAGTTGTCTTTCGGCAAGTTTCTCCAAGTAAACTTCTTGCAACGCTCGAAAGTAGGTCTTGAACATTTGATCAAAGTGGGCTTCTGGCTCTTGTGATTGCATGGTAGCCACAAGAATTGTTCTGGTGACTTCATTATTGGTGTATTCTACCCTAGAACAGTTCAGATATTCCCGCAATAATCGGTCCGAACTCTGCTGTTCATCTGGTAACAAGAAATGTAACTGCATAGGAGAGTCGTCATATTGCACTAACGGTACCGCATTTTTATTTCTTTGTTGTTGGAACACATCTTCACATGTTATGCTGCCATCTTCCGTTGTTACGAGCGACATAAAGTGACCTTGGTGATAGCCAATCACAACAGGAGATCTGACACAATCTACTGAGTCGCACAACAACGGCAGATATATGCCACCTAGGCTGACATCTGCAAGTGACTCATCATAGTTTCCTCTGTGGATGTTGTCACAAAGAACCAGTATTGGTCGTCGAAGGATGTTGGCCAAAGCGAAAATGTGAATCTCTTCAAGTGCATTGAGAGTGTGGGTCTCGGAGGATCTTGTTGTTGAAGCAAGTTCCATGGTTTTCTTCCAATCTTCATCCCATTGCTCACTGCTGCAGTCCACTGGACTCCCATTTTGTTCCTCAAGACGTTTCTCTTGCTCAAACTGCCATCGCTTTCTGAACATCTCTAAAATGAAAAATTGTATGAATTATGGGCGAATTGCAGGTCAGATTGTCCTCTTGAGTTAGACGGAGGAAAATACCAAAGTATTGATTGGAGTGCATTGCAGCTTAATAGGTTAAGAACTATGTTTATATAAATAGCACCAACATAATAAAGGAAGTTTGTAGCAGAATTTAGAATATTTCGGTAATTGATTCTTGCACTTAATAATTGTTCTCCCGACATGATAATTGAAAACGACTAATCAGGAAGTCTACCCATTCCTCAAAGTTCCTTTGTTCAGAAGAACATGAATAGCTGAAAGTCTGAAACAGGAAGTTTACTTTGTTATCCGAAACCATCTAATTCCTGTTGCTGTCTTCAACAGCAGTATTGTGTAAATTCCAGAATAATTAGAACAGCAGGAAAGATCAAGAAACAACGATCGTCATACCAATGACCAAATAAAGCTCTTACCCAAACCCACAAGAAAATATTTCAAATAATCTACCTGTTTGATCTTCAACAAGAACTTGATAGACACTTTTTCTCAACGTAAGTCTTCTGTCTTGTACAGCCCACATACAAAGTGAGGCAGCATGCATCAAACAATTACCATCTCCCAGAGTTTGTAGAGGCAAGAATTTTGGTAACATCAAACACCAGTTTACACATTTTGCATCTTCCAATTCTTGCATGAGACCAAAATCAACCAATGCCGATAGCAAGAATTTACGAAAATCTTGATCAAAACGGGTGAGGCTAGGCAGGATGAAATCGTGTCGTGGTAATTGAAGGAAGAAGCGATGTCTGCTTCTGTCTGCTGGAATTGTAACATCCCGTTCAATTCCATCACGGATTGCAGAAGATGTATTTATGTCTGTCAAGGACATTGTCCTTTGTAGTTGCGGGCTATCCATTCTTTAATCTAAAATGTTTATAGAAGACATCGATCAGGAAATGGTATATAAATTAAACTATGAATGTATATTGAATCAAACCAAAACAGTTGTCATAAAAATCTCTTTTAGTTTTGTCCTATGGTAGTCCAATGAATTAAAATTGTCCTGGGTAAATAAAACGATATTTATGAAAGAACAAAGGCGGTTCAATACAGCCTTTATTACTTGGTTGGAGTCGAACACTTCGATTCAATTATTCAACAGCCGATGGAATAAATTTGCCTCCAAATTTGCTTCGAAATTTGCTTCGAAATTTGCTAAATTCTTGACCGTTTCCATCTAGAATCTTCTATGTCACATAATACTTTTGTAATATAAATAAGCTTTAAAGTATATAAATATACGTTAATTGAAGCTTACCTTTTATATGTACTTGTTGTTCCAGTTTCGAAATGTCGTTGAATCTGACTTGAAACGGACGTTCTTTATATATATAATGAAATGTCGCTTCCTTTTAGGAACACTTAGCTTTGTTTCGTAATACCTAAGGAAAGCCAACCTGAAACTTGGCTGGGAAATGAAATGTCTAAACTTTTATATAAGCAAAAAGGAACGAAAGTATCTGTGGTTTAGTTTCGGTATGAAGTTATTCCCCGAAATTTACAAATATAAAACTGCGGAGCACGGAATGAAAAATTCATAAATAAACTATGATCGCAGAAAAATTCCCTTTGTAAGGGGAAATCCCTTCGCATACGTAATCAAATGATGTCACTTCTTGCATTTTCTTAGGGGGTGGTTGTAAGGTTGGCATTTTCTACATCATTTTATGTTGTTTAAAAATGATTTTAAAGCTTGATATTCGATGAAAGTGTCAAAAACAATTATTTTAATTGTGATAGAGGTGTTGAGTTTAGAATCATAACATATTATTTCAAAAAAATTGAGCTGAAAATTTAACTCCCAGCTCTACCCTGGGTTACTCAAGAATATTCAAATCGTTTTTGCCCGCACGTTCGGGCAAATCCCGTTTATTTATAAAAGCGAAAACATGACATAAGTTATTTATTTTGAGTGACTATACCAATTTTTGTAATATTTGTTTATGAAATTTACCGGAATTAGTTAGTGTTACCACGAAGAAGGTTTATTAAAATGTTCCTCAAATAATAGTAGTAATGATGAATGGCATGAATGATCCAAGGCCCAAGGGGAACTTTTTATAAGTTCCCAGAAATAGTACCTTTCTGACCTTTCTGACTTGTGTACAGAATTATTAATAAAGATTCAAAAGAATTGGAAATTCAAGTCATTAAAAAAAAAACGGACATATCTTTTGATTATCTTATATAAAATGCCTCCCTCCCTCCCCCCCCCCTGGCGTAAATGTCTCGAGTAAATATGAGTGAACTTTGCACTTGTTTCAGGGGGGGGTGGTGTTTGCTATGAAATTAATTTATAGACATTAATAGATAGATCTTGAAATTTATAATGGCCAGTGAAAAAGGCAAAGTTGCTATCATAGGCAGGTAAAATATAGAAATTTCATAATAGAAAATGTGAATTTTTATAGCAATATATGTACACATTTCATAAATATTGATTTGACTGATGATTGCATAATATTTAGCAATATTTTATTCCTACCATATTGTTGTGTTTTTAGTGGTTTGATTGGCAAGTCTTGGTCAGTGGTGAGTAAATAAATTACTACAGAAGGTGCTTTCTCAATATATGTACAATCCTATCCTAAACAGTCTGTGTCAGTGTTGGTAGCAAGAAAAACACTAGAGATATGGATCTGCAATGCTACCTTAACCCTGTATATTAATTTATGTATAATAGATTTTGGTTGCTCGTATATCAAGAAAGTGCCCAAAAAACTCAATCTCTCCCCCACAGAGGTGTATAAACCCTGAAATGTAAGACATCCAGACAAGGTGTAAATGTGTGCTGCGTTCGCAGGGTATTATTAGGTATTGTTGAAGAATATTGTCCCATGATGCGGGTATTATTAGGTATTGTTGAAGAATATTGTCCCATGATGCAGATGATATAGGGCAGATAGTCTGATTATAACTCATTAAGTGGCAACACTCTCCTTGACGAGTAAAGTAATTTGGCATATTAGACAGTAAAATAATAAATTAGGGTGCATTGCAGGGCACATTAATTAAAGCTGGTTAAATATTAACTTACATTAGATAACAGTTTCCTTCCTTAGTTGATAAATCAGTTAGTTGGTCATTTGTTTGCAGAATGCCTGAATTAGTATATAGTTCATGTTTCAAACACACATTAGTCTAAAAATGAAGTCATTCCACTATAGCTGTTCTGTCGAGCTGGATACGAAGTGTATTTATATGATATTGATGAAAAACAAGTATCAAATGCCTTGTCTGGGATTCTTGAATCTTTACAAGAGTTAGAAGGCAAAGGATTGCTAAAGAATTCCAAAATAACATCTGCTCAAGAGGCTCATAAATTGGTTCATGGCTGTAGTGATATTGCAGAAGCCATTGAAGGAGCAATTTACATACAGGTTTGTAAAATTAATATGAGTATTCTTATGTTCAACATTGATATGTAAAATTTCTATCAATCTTAAAAACACAATTTTTGTTTTCTAAAGGAGAACACTCCTGAGAATGTGGATATAAAAAAGAAAGTTTTTGTGAATCTTGATAATCTTGTGAAGAATGACGACACAATTCTTGCAAGTTCTACATCTTGTATCGTACCTTCACGTTTCACAGAAACACTCAAGCATCGCAAACAATGTATTGTGGCTCATCCGGTAAGCTGAAAATTTGAACTTAATATAGATCTTTTTGAAAGTTATTTTTAATTAAGACAGTGTCTTTGGATATTCCAGACTGGAAACTTGTCTTTGAACTAAGTTGTTTCATTGAAATCAACTCCTGGCAATTAATATTATTATTATTGGCACAATGCACTCCAATACACTCTTGTATTTTTACAAAAATTAGATGAGAATTAAATTGACAGAACGTTTCCTTGCTTTTCTGGGCTGCAAGAACTTGAATACATAATTAGCGCATGCCTCTAATTTATGCATGAATACTTGACTAAGTTGACTTGATTTGCTGGTGGAGGTAATCCAGTCAGTGCCTTTAGTTTAATTTTGTCTCAGGCCAGATGATTGTACTTGTACAGGGAAAAGCTAGAAACAGTTTTTTCAAAACTTCAGGTGAATCCTCCACATTATGTTCCGCTGGTTGAGATAGTGCCGGCACCCTGGACTGAGAGCTCGGTTGTTGAAAGAACCAGAGCAATTATGAAAGATATTGGTCAGGCACCTGTCACATTGAATAAAGAAGTGAATGGATTTTTACTGAACAGAATACAGTATGCTATTATTATGGAGGGATGGCGATTGGTTGAGGTATGGTGTGTTCATATCTTGATTAAATTTTGGAACTGTTTTACTTCTGAGCGCCCTAGGCAGACTAGAATATCTGTGTAAACACTAGTGTGCCAAAACAGGGGTCAATATAGTAGAATCAAAACTGTAAAGTTTTGAAAACAACAGCAGCTTGGCGTGTACGCACCTACGTACCTATTTTTATGTTTGTTTTGCAGGATGGTGTATGTTCTCCAGAGGATGTGGACACGGTTATGAGCAAAGGACTGGGATTGAGATACTCGTTCATGGGACCATTTGAAACAATGCACATGAACGCTGGAGGTCAGTGGGTCTCAAGACATTTCAGGGCAGTAGGTGATGGTCCAGAGATCACTGTTGACACTCGTGGAGCTGGCAAATGGGCAATTCCAGCTATTTGAAATTCTGCTATTTGAAATCCCAGAACTTCGTTTTCAAATGGCAGAACTCCCTTTTGAAATGCCAAAACTCCGTTTTTAAATCCCAGAACTCCGTTTTCAAATGCCAGATCTCCATTTTCAAATGCCAGATCTCCATTTTCAAGTGCCAGTCTCCATTTTCAAATGCCAGATCTCCGGCATTTTCAAATGGCAGAAGTTACGGGCCTTAACAAATTTTTGCACGGATTTCAGGAATTTTGGACTACTGTGAGAAATATGGCAGTAATATTGAGAAGATATGTGAAGAGCAAGGTGAATCTAGACAGCTGCATGATTCAAACACTGCTCAGGTCGTTCATGACGCCATGTGTAACGCAAGTGTCCCTGTTGAGAAACTTGAAGAACGCAGAACGTGGAGAGACAAGCGCTTGGCAGCATTAGCAGTACATCAAGCTGGCCAGGAGGACTGAGAATTAGTAGGAATTTAAATATGGCTTTGATTAATATTAACAATTCTAAATCACCTTTGTATGGCAATTAATATACTAGTGATTTTTATTCAAAACACCGTCATTCTTTAGTTTGCAAAGTACCGTTAAAACATGCGTATAGGCTAGGAGTGTTTTATCATATTTAAAATGGGAGTACGCGATAGTATGTGTATGTTAGGACTTAAAAGAGCAATTTTTAAGTCATAACATACTAACATACGCAGCACGAGCATTTTATTTTTAGTTCTGGTAAAACCATAGAAATATTGGACTATTATGTCTATTATTTCTATGGGTAAAAGTAAAACACTGCTACAAGTGTTTTGAATAGCTTCAAACACGACTACAATAGATGCCGTCTCATTAGTATTCTTTATATAAAGAATACTAATTAGGATGGACTTTTATATAAAGAATACTAAAGGCTGCATTCCAGTTACGCGTTTTTCATACGTGCGTACACGCACGTAAAAGTTCAGTGAATTCACTTTACATCCTACTTATGAAATAACTAAATTTATAAAAGGACAGCATTCAGTTTCGTGTATGATTTAATGTGTATTTGTTAAGGTTATTTGCACTTATATGAAATTTTAAGCGAATTCAACTTTTACGTGCGTGTACGCACGTAT